CAGATGGCGCTCTAGGCGACCGCCTAGTTCGCCTATGCCAAGAGCCGGGTCTGAACAGGATGTCTGGTAGCCATTGGGTGAGAGTGAAACAAAGAACTGTCTGAATCTTAAAAAGAAGTCACATTAAAGCTGCTATTGCCTTTTTTAATTAATTTATAAAGATTTCTTTTGAACCTGTTAAATCTGCTCTGTTACAAAATGCAAAAAGTCATCATCCTAAAAAATAAAATCTTGATCTAACAACCACAATCACATGTTGGGGATGAGAAACTTCTCTGAAATTGTTTTACATCTCCCCKAAAACATTACAAAGCGCTGCGTTTTATCTGTTTTGTTAGTTTCATTGTGAGTACAAGTGTCTGCTGAAATGCAAAAACACTTAAATCTGTTTCGTACACAGTTTGTGCACAGTGTAAAGGCTTTAACTCCCCCTGCTTGAAGCCTCAATAATTTACTTTTTTGACTACATTTTTTATGACCTCATTCTTGTTTGAGTGTAGAGCCATTGAGGTGCATTAACATTCAAACACTCTAAAAGACTCTTTCCATTCTTCTAAAAAAATTGAATCCCATTAGTGTCTTCATTTCTTTGCTGCTATGGAAATTAAATGGATTATTGAAAGATTTTATTTTAAGCAAAACAAAGTGTCATTTGTCAAAAATCACAAAAATAATCCAAACATATTTTGGAACATCTAGATATTTATATAACCTTTGGTGTGAAACTTTCACTGTTGGACACCCATCTGTAACACAGATTCTCCACTTTTCCAGCCATGCGTTGACATTTAAATCTGTTTGAATTATAACATCTGTGTGTTACTTAGTTGGCCCCCTGACAGGTGAACTGGTATTACAACCTCAGGTCCCCGAAGGTCAAAGCTTATATGTGACCCATCGCATCGAAATGAGGATTAAGTCTAAAAGTGGGATATGGAGAAACAGGCAAATATCATGTTTTTGTTAAAACATTTGCAAAAATGCATTTTGTCAAAACATAATGAATAAACGCCTTATCAATGCATCATTTGAATGAACTGTCTGAAATAGAATCATAAAACAACATTTTGAAGCACTTTTTTGAGCAGTAGCAACAAAAAAAACTGATTTTGAGCAAAAACGCCTTCAAACTTTTGAGATTTTCCCTGTGAGCTAGCAATGTTTTAGTTTCTTTCCAGCTGGGAAATCACAATTTTCAAATAATATTTGAAGTTTCATCTTAAAAATGGCATCAAAAACTCCTCATTAAAATTACATAAAATTAGGATTCACACCATATATTATTGTACAATGATAACCAACAAGACAAATGAAGTCATGTATTTGGATTCAATTATGATATCAGAATAATCCAGGTATCAAAACGTAGCTTTTAAAGCCAAGAATCTGAAAATGTGTTTAGGTCATTTTGATCAAATTTGACTTAATCCTCATTTCGATATGATGGGTCACATATTAGAAGAAAATGTGCCTGTGTTTAGTGCCTCACATCTTTGCTTCAAATCTTGCCAAGTTCTCAAAGCTTCCAATGAGAAACAGCGCCTTAGCACGATACTACCACTGCCGTACTTTAGAGGGAGAATTTCGCACTCTGCGTTCCAACAAAAGGATATCAGACTGATAGCCAAACACAAAGGTGGTGGTAGTGTGACGGTCTGGGTCGCTGTCTTTTCAAGACCTGGAAATTTCTCCTTTATTTAGCAGGTCTCTTTGAAACAACAGTTGTCTCATTTGCAAGACAGACTTGTATTTGCTGGAATCAATGGATTCATTAGAGTCTGCTTTCTTCCAGATGACACCAGAGACTGGCGAGCCATCCATTCGTAGCCTTAAGATAAAGCTCACTTTGAAGCAGGATAATGATCTGAAGCGCTGCAGCGACATAATCAGCCACCTTAAAAACTCATCCAGTTATCACAAACACCTGAATCCAGCTGTTGCCACTGAGGGTGACCCAACCAGGGGTAATTACGTCCTGATGCATCTCAGTAATCCAGGTAAAAAATCAAAAAGAAAAAAAATTGRATAGGTCTTCTGGACGGGTTCTTCTCTAATGAAACGTTTCGTCTCTCCTCCAAGAGACTTCTTCAGTCTGAGAGTTTCAGGCAAAATTCAGGCTTTTAAGCCCTGCCTCCATGTGACTGATACTCACATCACATGGCTATCGTTGACACCTAATTAACACTTATTGTTAACAGGGGGTGGAGTGATACTGGCAATAGCCGCGCTGTAGGAGGGGGACAACTGAAAACGGAGGCCTCCACCTCTGTTTAATGATGGACGGTCTTTCTTCACAAAAATGGCTTCTTTTACTCCTCTCTCAAACCAACGTTCCTCTCTATCAAGAATGAGAACATCCTCATCTCTGAAAGAGTGACCGCTGGCCTGTAAATGAGTGAAAACTGCAGAGTTCTGGCCATTAGATGTAGCTCGTCTGTGTTGGGACATTCTTTTGAACAGTGGCTGCTTTGTTTCCCCGATGTATAACTGGTCGCAGTCCTCCTGGCACTTAACAGCATATACAACATTGCTCTGTTTGTGCCGGGGCACCGGATCTTTGGGGTGAACCAGCCTTTGCCGTAATGTGTTTTGGGGTTTGAAAGCCACRGGMACATCATGTTTTCAGTTGTCCCCCTCCTACAGTGCTCCTATTGCCAGTATCATTCCACCCCCCTGTTAACAATACATGTTAATTAGGTGTCAACAATAGCCATGTGATGTGAGTATCAGTCACATGGAGGCAGTTCTTAAAAGCCTGAATTTTGCCTGAAACTCTCAGACTGAAGAAGTCTCTTGGAGGAGAGACGAAACGTTTCATTAGAGAAGAACCCGTCCAGAAGACCTATACATTTTTTTTCTTTTTCAGGGGTAATTACGTTTTCACGTAGACCACTGTTGGCTTGGATAGCATTTTTTTTTAAAGAAATAAAATTTTATAACTGCATTTTGATTTTGTTTGATGATCTGAAATCTGATTTTATGAGAGAAACCTGTAATGGGTGAATGTACTTTTTCGCAGCACTAAATAAATCAGTTGAAAAGTTTTAAGGCCGCCACATAAAGATGACAAGAAAATAAGAAAACTGAGGAGGAACACATATTGTCACCCGTATGAAGCAATTCAAATTTGTTTAATGAGAAAAAAAAACTATTTTATAAACTTGAGTGAATTTTGTGCCTGCATACACACAAACACACATACATTCATAACTGACTCCTCCCGAGTCTTTCCTGCTCCACTTTTATCAGTAATTCTGGAGCCTGTCAGCGTTTAACCCCCCCTCCTACGCTGACACACAAACACACACTGGATTTCTTATTGACCAAACTGAACTGACACACACACAGTCAGTCAAACAGAGAGTTGTTCCCCTGTTGTTTCCATCTAAACACAACAATCCAGGGCACCAGATTTAGACGGCAACAGCTGGAGCAGTTGTAACACACCTTGCTGCTCCTGCTTTCTCATCTTGTCGGTGCGGATGGAGCCACAACGGTCATTTACAGCCTCTGTGTGTGTGTGTGTGTGTGTGTGTCAGTGTGTGGGTGACTCTGGCTGCAATTCTACAATCCATTCGTCCAGGACTCTCCTCCTCTGTGGAGGAGAGTCACATCAGGAGGCTGCAGGATTTCTTCCCCATAAGCAACGTTGACATTTTTAGCCTCTCTTCTGAGAATAGACGGTTGGCTGTTTGAACCTCCTTGCATATTTGTGATGTTTCTATATTTAAAGAAAAATAAAGCGGGTTAAGTGCAGTGCGGGGCTGCAGAAAGTCATCATCACTCAGCAAAACACCAAGTGATGCTTCACAAGGGAATGGGGCATGCTTTATTCTTTTTTTTATATTAATTTATTTATTTTGTTAGATCAAGACGTCTCCGATTTGTGTTGTACAGAGATGGATAGATACAGGAACTGAAGTATAAAATTATTTTTGTGTATTTTCTCACTCAGGCTTTAATGAAAAAATATGAAAGCAAAAAAAAAAAAACAGCCTGTCCTTGATGTGTCCTTCGCAATCTCCACTTTAGAAAGAGCAATTTAGTTTTGCAAAAGAAAATAATTTGAAGACATTATAAAGACAAATACATTCTGTACAATCAATAGGCCATGTGACAGCATGGAGTCTGTGTGTGTTTGTGTGTGTGTGTCTGCAGTGTTGAGAAGTCACTCATTAAGACTGGCAAACTGCAGTCTGTTTGCGCGGATAGGTGTATGTGTGTGAAATTAAATACCAGTCTAGCTGTCCCACTCCAAACACTCAGGACTGGGCATGGTGGGAACCAGCTCCATGTGTCAAGGGGAATGAATATGCGCTCTGCGTAAAAGCATTAGCGGCGAATTCGCGATAAGGGCGCAAAAAAATAAAAAATAAAACATGGCACAAAACAGATTAGGAATAAGACGCGCACGGAACCGGAGGAGATAATCCCGTTATCTGGTTGGACGTGAGATGCCAGCGTGAAGCATCCTCCGAGACTGACGTGAACTGAGCGTGAACTAACGCTGCAGATATATATGAAGGAAAGAGGGGGGGGTGGGGGGGGAGAAGAGAAGCAACATGAGGTAAACAATGTTGTTCTTGACCTTAAGGGACACTCACGTCGTTTACCGCAATGTCACCGCGCTCCTCTCACTCACTGGGAGCCCACACGCGACACCAGTTGGATGTTCCCACTGATGACATTGGATCACCTTTGATTCCCCCCCCCCCTCCCCCCTTCAGACATGACAGCAGGTGTCTAATATTCACAGCGTCAGTGATGGATGACTGCTGTCAGGTTCAACAAGGAGGGATTTAGATCTCTTCTCCCGCGGTTTGTGATACCTGGGAACCGGTGGAGACGCGCGCCGGTCATCACCTTTTAACCATTACGCGCCACAAGAACGCGCACGGTGGGCACATGTCCACTGAAAACCCTACAATGTACACTTTAAAGTAAAAATAATTATAATAATAATGAACAAATGAATAGGAGAGACCAAAATGAGGACTCACAGGGTGAGACGGGTCTCTGCGCGCCCCATTTGGTTGTGGTATATCCCCTTCCGGGATCCTCAAATGCCGTGGTCGCAATCCACGTCTCTGCAAATGTACCAGAGGATCACATAGAGAATCAGGAGGATGGCGAAGATGAAGAGCGCAACGAGGATGGCCTTGGTCACCGGGGAGATGAGCGACTGCATGTCAGGAGCAGAGCCGGGGCAGAGCGGCGTGCGTGCGGCTCCGCGTCCGTCCTCAGTCTGCAGCCTCCCTCCTCCTCCTCCTCCTCCTCCTCTGCTCTCCGTCGCTCCGGTGGCAACTGTTGAGGACGGAGCCCGGGGCTTTTTTTTTTTTTTTTTGACGCGCACTGCGCGCGCGCGCCGTGTACTAGTACTCCCCGGCGATCCAGGCGCGCAACGCGTGGGGGGCTTCCCTCGCTGCAGGCAGCTGCCTCCGCACAGATCCGATCTTTCCCCCCCACCCAGCCCGTCTAACACACGAGAACACACGCGTGGAGACTGAAGTATCCCTCAGGGGTGGATGCGCCGCAAAAAAAAAAAAAACCTGCACGAGATGGAGATTTTAACACTGAACGGGAAAGTTGCGCACCGCGCGCTGCCGCGCTTGACGGCAAACAGGTTGATTAGTATTCCTCACTGCGCCGACTGTGCGTGAGAGACGGCTGGCGTGACAGACTTTCATCTCATCAGGACCCTCCGCATCCCTTTTTTTTTTAGCAAAGCTGACTGAAATCGGATGATTCCAGATTAAAGAAACCGGTTTACACTTGAGCGCGTTGCTCCTATACATCCTGTTGGTATAATTACGCCCTAAAGCACGCGCTGTGAAGAAAATCTAACCCTGGGAATTAATAATAATAATAATAATAATAATAAAAACGGATGGTCTAATATGTCACTGAAAATCCCTGAGTCGTTTTGATGTTGCAGAATTCTCTTTTTAAGGAAACACCTGTTTGATCTCTAAATAATCATCATAAGAGTCAAGTCGGAGTTTTTGTAAAAGAAGAGACATTTAACCTCATAGTCAATATTTTAATCAGCATTAGGCCTAAATGAATTAAATCCAACAATAACGCATTACCAAAAAGAACAAAGTTGATATATATAAACCTAAACATCAACTGTTGATATCCATAAGAAATTATGTTCAACAGGACAACATTGAAACCAAATTATTCAAATGAGTTTTCCTATTGATTTAAGGTTTGTTTAGCTAGACTTGAACAGATTTTTATGACTAACCTAATAGCATATTGCATGTTTTTATTTGTTTATTTTATTTTATCTATTTAAACTCTGTTWTTTTAAGTGCTTCTTAAGCTTGTATTTTAATAATGATTATCCTAACCAAATATTAAGCTACAACAAAAACTACAAATGGCTGAAAATATCAACTATCGAAATATCCAAAAATAATTTCCTGAAAGGTGAAGCGGGCGCACTTCATTTATCACTTTGAGCCACTAGATGGCGACAAAAACATACATTTCACGTCCTGGTTGAACGTGATGTATTTCTTTGATTATTCCGCACACCATCGTTGCACTGTGGTCTTGCATAACAGGTATGACGGATAAACGGATTTAACCCACACAGGTAAGGATAAATAAGGCTGTTTTAGTGGTCGGCATGGCGCATTCATCTTCTTGATATGTAACCTTACTGTTTGAGATGTATTTCTAGCCAGGAAATGTCACAGTGGCCTATGAAGCAGAAGCTGCTAGCCCTGTTGATAAGTTTCGTAAAATGAGCAAACGAAAGTTGTTTTACACGTCGTGTGTCGTTTATTTGATTTATTTTATTATTTTTTACATATGTGAGAAAGTTGCTACTTCCAAGACAGGATGTCAAATATATAACACAACAGTACACTGACGAATATAAATAACCCACTAGCTTGCGGCTAAATAACTAGCTTTAACAGGCCATAGAGATGTTAAGTGTTTGAAAGTAAAATGTAACTTCCGGTATCTCCCTTCGGACTTAATGTTTTGGTTTTTACATGGCAACTTATTTGTGATAAATAGGTAAGGGGATAGAAAAGTACCTAAAGGTGTACAATGGCAACACCATTTATTTAAAGTAAACATCCATCACCTTGTTTCTGGACATAATGATTTAAAAATGTTGATGGGATCTGAATGGGAATTTGTGTCCTGTATTATGAATGCAAATTCTTCATGGCTAATTTCTTTCTGTTTACTATCCATTAGATTGTCTTTGTATTTTACATAAGGTTTAGATTTTTAAAAAATGCAGCAGAAATGGTGCGTTTATGCACTTGTATATCATGTTTTTTTCTCTCCCACAAATTGCCTAGCTGTTAAATTTAAAACATCTTCAGCCCTGTATATTGGCAGTATTTACTCTTTGTTATCCAGCATGACTCGTTGTTTCATTTCGCACTACATTTTTACAAAGGCTTTTATTTTGAAGACAGCCGGCTCCATTTCCGGCGGTGTCTTTTTGAAGAAATGTGCTGCAGCAGCTTTGACAAGCGCAGCATGCTAGCTGGCTAACTAGAGGCTAAGCTTGAACCTGAGTGACAGTGAGTGTGTTTACATCGGCTGTTAGTGGGTTTTATTTATCGTGACACATYTTTCATCCACCCTCCTATCACGCCGGGTTAGTCTGCGTTTGTTTTAGTTTTTAAAATCGCTAATTGAAATGTACACAAACGCTATGTTAGCTGAATGTTCACTACAGCTAGCTTTGCCTTGTTGACTATAGCGATCGCTAACTTTAGTTATTMAAATAATATGGTATTTTATGTAACTCCAGGAGCTACACTGGTCTTATAGTGTAGTAATAACATATAGGCGTTTAGTAAATTGGTAATGTTTATTCTTTGTATCTACTCATTGTCTTCGAAAACATAATACTAATTACAACACTACCGATCTCTCTTTATTTATTACAAATGCGTTAAATCTAACTTTTAGATTCTCTTCAAGAACATCAATGCARTTTTGGGTTCAATTTAGGCAGCGATTAGACTACCTTATTTAACTTACAAATGTATTATCCATAATAAAAACAAGTCATGACTTATACAGAATGTGACAGTTCATTGTATGCGTCTGAATACCAGTCTTTTATATACTTGGACTTTTTTCCCCTCTTTATGTCAAGTTTCACAGTTAAACTTGTGTATTTTCTCTTATAGCATTTTATTGTGTTTGATTTATACATCTTCACTAGATTTAGGCTGATTATTAACTGTAGAGGAAGTACTGGCTGTATTATTACTGCCTCTGCAAATACAATGTAGAGGCAATTGTCAGCTTAGCTGTCGTTACAAGCGAAAGGAAGGCTGTTTTGTGTCATTAACTTTTACATGTTTGTAATTTCTTGGGAATTAGGGCTGCCACAAACGATTATTTTAATAATCGATTACTCACCGATTATTTATTCGATTAGTCAACTCATCGGATCATACGTTAATTGAATATAAAACATACAGCTTATCACGTCAGAATGCAGCTGCTATTATA